GCCTGGCCCATGGAGGGGTCAGAGGCAGCTGGGGGCCTGGCCCATGGCGTGGCCCAGGGAGGGGTCAGAGGCGGTTGGAGGCCTGGCCCATGGAGGGGTCAGAGGCAGTTGGAGGCCTGGCCCATGGAGGGGTCAGGGGCAGGTGGGGGCCTGGCCCATGGGGGAGTCAGAGGCAGCTGGGGGCCTGGCCTGGAGGGGTCAGAGGCAGCTGGGGGCCTGGCCTGGAGGCATCAGAGGCAGGTGGAGGTCTGGCCCATGGAGGGGTGAGAGGCAGCTGGGGGCACTGCCCATGTGTCACAAGAGGCAGGTGGGTGCTTGGTACAGGCAGTGAAAGTCCCAACTCTGGCCTAAGGCCAGTTCTACTTATGGTGTCCTAGCTTGGTTCTGTCCCTGCCCCTGGAGCAAGCTTTGCCAGGCTTCTAGAGCCTCTGGGAGCCAGCCCTATTATCTCTGGGCAGCAGAGAGCAGAATCTGCGTTGTAATCTCCCCTGGCTTTCGTAGGCCTTGAGCCAGAAGGAAGCCAGGCCTCTGCCCTCAGGAGGCCTCCAGCCTGGCACCTTCCCTGCCTCCTCTCCCTTGGGATGAGCAGAATTCTCCTGTGCCCCAGCACCTGTAGTCCCTCCCCTCATGCCCGACAAGCGGTGGGCTAGCCTCTTCTTGGAGATGCCCAGGCTGGGATCTGGCCTCCCCCAGGCCACCTGACCTCTTTAGTCACCCACCCTCTGCTGCCCCTTTCTGGTTCTGCCCCCTGGGATGGCCTAGCATAGACCCATTCCTCTCCTCTTCTGGCCTGACTCACCCAGCTGGGTTTGACCCAGGTGGACTCTGGGCTTGCCCTGGGGTGAGGGGGCCTGTGGGGAAAGAGAGGAGATGAGATGTCAGGTGACCTGACCAGGCAGTGTAGAGCAGGAATTGGGGCGGCTGGGCCCCCTCCCCACAGGCCAGGGCTCCTCTCTCCACCTGCTTGAATTGCTCTGAGTGTGTCTGCTTTCCCACCTGAGACTGGACCATTTCCCTGTTGGGCTCAGGCCTGTCAGGGCAGGAAGTGGTCTCCCGTCCTGCCGGGCCTGTATTTATGGAGCTGGCAGTCGGGGAGCTGGCCCATGCACAGCTCGGGGCGATGAGGGCAGGGCTCCCTGGAGGCTGGGAGCGGTGGGGCCTCGCGTGGCAGGGTGGCCAGATTGGGGGCAGGCTCTGGTCCCGGGCGGGGAAGCCAGGTACCCCACGAGAGGGTCTGAGTTCCCAGGGCTGTTGGTCTGTGCTCCGACTCTGGGTTTGGCCTGGCTCTTCCTTCTCCTTCATCTGGGGCCGCCTGGAGGCTGGCAGTGCCCGAGGGGTGGCGGGCACGGGCAGGCCTCCGGTGCAGGGCAGAACACGGACAGGAAACTCTGGGAGCTGTGGTGTGGGCTGAAGTTGTTAGTAATAAGGATTCTTGCTGTGATAAATGCCATTTACTTAAACTTGGGGGTTTGTAAAGCGCTTCACAAACATTCTCTCGTTGGATTCTCACAACAAGCTTGGGAGGGAGGGAGGTGCTGTTATTATCCCCATGGTACAGAGGAAGAAACTGAGGCAGACAGAAGCCGAGTGGTTTGCAGCTAGTTCACGCAGCTAGCGACTGAGGCTGGATTTCAGCTCGGGTCTTCTTGACTCCTGGGCCAGCGGTTTGTGTCCTGTGCTTCCCCCCGCGCCTCTCTGGCCTGGCCAGCAGGCACCCTGCCCTGGCACGATGTTTTAGGACTCTGTAAGGGAGGGAGGTGACCACAGAGGAAGGGTGACTACATGGCGGTGGGGAGAGGTCAGCCAGGAAATCTGTGGCTCTGTAGAGGCGGCTCACTGGCGCTTGTAGCCCAGGGTTTTGAGGGTCCAGCTCAGTGTCACTGTGTGTGCGGGCTCGCTGCTGGGGAGCCGGGCACCTGGCCTGCCTTTGGCGGTCACTCGTGGGCCTGCTGGAGTTTCTCAGAAAAGGAAAGATGAGGAAAACTGCCCCAGAGGCAAACATCCAAAGCAAGGGGTTGGAGAGGGCAGGGGGAGAGGGCGCTGCACCAGCCTGAGCAGGTCAGCTGTTTGGGAAGCGAGGAGGTAGCCAGCGCGGGAGGCGAGGCCCCTGGCTGCCCGTGGGAGGTGTGGCTGCCCATGGGAGGTGAGGCCCCCACATAGCCAGCGCCCTGCTGCCCACGACCCCTGCTCCCCATGGGAGGCGAGGCCCCTGGTGGCCTCTGCTGCCTGCAGGAGGCAAGGCCCCCACATAGCCAGCGCCCTGCTGCCTGCGACCCCTGCTACCCATGGGAGCTGTCCATGGGAGGTGAGGCATGCCCTGCTGCCTGCAGGAGGTGAGGGCCTGGTGACCCCTGCTGCCTGCGGGAGGGAGACCCCGCGTAGCCAGGGCCTGCTGCCCACAGGGCTCCACAGAGGGAGTCCTGTTGGACTTAGCCCTTCTAAACTTCCCTTCCAAGGGACCTTGGTCTGGGTCCTGAGGACAGTGGTGTAGACAGCCAGCAAAGTGCTTGTCCCATTGTGAATTCCTTACTGCCCAGCTTCTCTTCCCATGTGCCCCCAAGCCATGCCCTCCATGGGAGATGGCAGTCCCCAGTCTGAGGTCTGCCTGGGCCATCGGCCTTATCTTGACGAGTCAGTGGGTACGAGCCGGCCTCTGGCGGCAGGCTCGGCCTCCTCAGAGAGTCCAGAGGAAAGGGGCGGGGAGGGGGACTAGGTGAGCAAGGAGTGAGTCACCTTAGCCCCTGGCTCCCCGCCCCACCTCGTCATCCTCCATCATCCCATGGTGAGGATCTGCCAAGGAAGGTGGGTAGACGGCAGGCGGGAGGACGGCTGGCGGGCAGGTGGGTGGCTGCTGTCTGCTGCCTGCCTGCGTTGGAGCTCTGGGGGGCAGCTCCCCGGCTGTTCTTTACGTGGGGGCCTGGCCCAGCTCCCGTGTCCATATCCTTGCCTGGCAAGGACCGACCTCAGCAGTGCATTAGCTGCACGTTCACCCAGGGCGCGTCTCTGGCCTCACCTCTTGTCCCTGCCGCCTCTCTTCCTGCCCCCTTCCCATGTGCCCTGGGCTGGGTGGCCTCAGAGCCCTCTCTCAACCTTGCCCTCACTTGCCAGGGGCCAAGCCCTGTCCGCTGTGCTGAATACCTCCCTCGGGGCACACTGCCTTCTCCCCAGGGGTTTCTCCTTGTAAAGGCTGTGCCAGGGATTGCCACCACCGTCGTCCCTCACCCATTCTTCCCCTAGAGAGCGTCCCTCCCCTTCCCCCTTGCCCCCGTGGCTCCTTGCTGCCCTGAGGACAAGCCTGCTGTTGCCGGCTTGCTGGGCTCTGGGTCCAGCCTCATTTCCCAGGATTCCCCTTTCTGCCCCCAAAGCTTGTCAAGCTTCCCTTGTCTCTCACGTCTCGGCATTCTTGTGGCCCCTTCTCACGTTGGCCTCCAGGGCTCAGCCCATCAAGCCTTTTCTGATCCTGAGCACCCTGGGGGGGGTCGTCACCCCATTTCCTCCATATGCTGTCGGCCAGTGGGCACTCTCAGGTGGCTCTGCACCTAGCGTCGGGTCTTGGGACTTGAGGGGCTCTCGAAGGTGGCTCTTCTGTGGGTGAGGGCATATGTTGGCACCTATGGCTGGTTCCCCTGTGCCCCCCTGGCAGAGGAGGCTAGCACCTGGCTCCTGCCCCTGTGTGTGAAGGCGCAGCAGGCCCGTGTAATGGGGAGCCTGGGATGGATTTGTCTGGGAGGAGAAATGACCCAACCTTTGGTCCCAGGATTGGCCCTCTGGCAGGAGGTGGCCCGATGGGCCGGGTGGCACCCCGCCGCCCTCCCAGCAGGCAGGCCAGGGTGAGTACCAGCTTCAGCTGCTCTACCCTTCCCCAGGCACCCCTGCTGCCCCACTCCTCCCTGGCCTCATCCCCAGGCTCCCTTTTTTTTTACTCTTAACCCTGGGCTTGGCCCAGTGCATGTGTGGTGGGCTTCCTCCTTGGCAGGGACTCAAGCCCCGCACAGGCCGCTGTGTTTTGCCTGTCCTTGGGTACACATGCCAGTGACCTGTGCAGTAAAGGCTTCAGGTTGCTGGTCTGCATGGGCTTATCTGCTGCCCTCCCCCCCAGCCTGGTGACACCCCCCCATCTGCTGCCCCCCTCAGCCTGGTGACCCCCCATCTGCTGCCCCTCCCCCCCCAGCCTGGTGACCCCCCCCATCTGCTGCCTCTCCCCCAAACCAGAACACCCCCCCCCCATCTGCTGCCCCTCCTGTGAGCCCCGTGGTCCCCCCCAACCTGGTGATACTCCCCCTTCCTTGGAACTCTTGGGATGCTGTCCCCTGCCCCACCCCCTGCAACCTTTCCAAGATTAATTCCTGGTGACTTTTCTGGAGGTGGTGCAGCACGTGGAGGGTGGGGGAGGGGTGAGGCCAGCCAAGGCTGCCATCCTCTGTGTACTCAGTAGGAATTTGGAAGCAGGTGAAGGAAAAATGCACACTGGGAAATGGTGCTGGGCTCTCTCTGGTGCCTTCCAGCTGGAGATCTCAAAGCACTTTTCAAGCTGGTATCCCAGCCAGGGAGAGGGCAGGAGGTGCCACAAGGTGGGTGAGTCAGGGCCAGTGAGGGCCTGCTCGCCTCTCCCAGGCCAACAAGCATTTGTTAATTGCCTACTGTGTGCCAGGATGGAGGCTGGCGCTCGGGGGAAGCGAGGGGCTCTCCCTAGACCTTGGCTGTCATCTCCATCTTTTTTAAAGAAAAGCTTTGTGTCTGAC